TGCCTCTTTGTGATCCTCATGTAATCACTCCAAGAAGGTTATTTCATAATGACACATTAATATAAAATGAGCTGAAATGGTATTTTTTATTTTCATTCAAAATCATCATATGCTATTCTCAACATGGAGAAATCATGCATTATATGACTAGATTTGTAAAAAGAACACCAGCAAACACTGAGAAATAGAAGAGCATTCATCTGGGTCGCAAATTAGCGTCAAAACAAAGTCAGGGGCAGTGCTGTGGCCTAGCAGGTAAAGTCACTGCCTGCAGTGCCGGCATCCCACATGGCCGCCAGTTTGAGTCCCAGCTGCTCCACTTCCAATGCAGCTCTCTGCTATGGCCTGGGAAAGCAGAGGAAGATGACACAAGTCCTTGGGCCCCTGCACCCGTGTGGGAGATCAGAAAGAAGCTCCAGGCTCCTGGCTTCAGATCAGCCCAACTCCGGCTGGTGCGGCCATTTGGGGGAGTAAACCAGCAGGTGGAAGACCGCTCTCGCTCTTGCTCGCTCGCTCGCTCTCTCTCTACCTCTGCCTGTCTGTAACTCTGCCTTTCATATAAATAAATAAATCTTTAAAAATAAAAAAAGTAAGTCAGTAACCACTCACAGCAACCTTACTGAGCAAATACTCCATAGCAGGGACCTCAAAAACTTTCTTAAGGCTCTTAAGAGTAAATAAAAATAATAACTTGGAATTCAAATCAAAGTACTTGTTGGTTAACACTTTAAACTGAGTATCAGCAGGGCTGGTGTAGTGGTGTAGCAGGTTAAGCCTCCGCCTGAAATGCTGGCATCCCATATGGGCATCAGTTGACCTGGCTGTTCCACTTCTGATCCAGCTCCCTCTAAGGCACCTGGGAAAGCAGCAGAGGATGCCTTAGATGCTTGGGCTGCCACCACCCACGTGAGAGATCAAGAAGCTCCTGGCTCCTGGCTTCAGCCTGGCCTAGTCCTGGCTATTGTGACCATTTAGGGAGTGAATTAGCAGATGGACGATCTCTCTCCTCCCTTCTGTAACTCTGCCTTTCAAATAAATACAAAATAAATTTTTAAAAATAAAAAAATTAAAAATAAAGAAATCAGCAACGAGGTAATTTTTAATAATTTCTAAATTTCTCAGCCCATCTCATGTCACTCCAAATATATAACTGTCCCACATTTTTTATTTTTTTTATTTAATTTTAAATTTTTATTTTTTTAATAGGAGCCAGAAAGAGCTCCTATGCACTGGTTCACCCTCTAAATTTCCACAATGGCCGCGGCCGGGCCATGTTGAAGCTAGGGGCGGGAACATCATCCAGGTCTCCTGGTGGATGGCGGGAACACAGACACTTGTGCCTTCACTGCTGCCTCCTAGGGTATGCAGCACAAGACGCTGGAGTCAGAAGCTGCAGCCAGGGACTGATGCCAGACACTGGCAGCCCACTAACAGCTAAACCATACTAGCACCTCACGCACCCCACACCCCTGATTGTCAGCAAACCACCTTCCAGCTCTCCTCTGAGACTCTCCAACACCATCTCAGTCCAGAATCCAACTTTCCCAAGGAGGATGCTCTCAAGTATCCCACCCACCCCAATCAGGTTAGTGATTAACCCTTCCCTGGATGAAGCAAAAAACTGAAAGGGAATCAATGAATGTAGAAATGCTGCCTTGCAGCCTTTCCCTGCAGAGAAGGCCTTAGCTCGCTGGTTACTCAACTATCAAACCCCATGTTCAGCAGGGCTTCACACATCATTTAACACAATACATAAAGTATTCTTTTTCTTTTAAAATAAAGTCCTTGATTGATCACCTAAAGACAAAGAGAGCTGAAGAATCTATTAAAAAAAAAAAAAACTAGCAAGAATAATTATATACAAATCCTTAGGTGCCTCTGAGTCATAGGAAAAGGTTTATAACCAAACTTGTTAAAACTTCTGGAACAAGGCACAGTCGCCAGCGACAACGCCATCCCAAAAACAAACGCCGGTGCATGTTCTGGCTGCTCCACTTCTGATCCAGCTGCCTGCTAATGGCCTGGATAAAGCAGTGGAAGATTGGGCCCCTACCACCAATATGAGAGACCTGGATGAAGCTCCTGGCTCTTGGCTTCAGCCTGGCTCAGCCCAGGTCTCTGCGGCCACCTGGGGTATAAACCAGCAGAGGGAAGGTATCTCTCCCCTCACCCTCTTTCAAACAAATAAATCTTTAAGGATTTCCTTGAAATAAATAAATAATATTTTTTTAAAAAACTTCTGCAGTAAAGTCACGTAATTTTTCTATTAATAACCTGCCTTTGTTCTTATCCTTCCTCTCACTTTTGAAAAGTTTAAGCATGAATTTGCAACAACCTGACCACATCCTTTCTATTTTTATTTAATTGCTTTCCATCGGGGCGGCTATCCCTCGAAGAATGACAGAATCCTACCAAAATCCCACTCCCCACAGTCTAATGGTTCAGAATCTCCCAGGTAACACAAATCCCCAGAGGCTTTGATCCAATTTAACAACTACATACACAGAGAAATATTGTTTTCAAATAAAGAACACCCTAGTTACAAAACAAATGCTACTTACTCAAAGGAAAAAACCCTGCCACCACCAGGCTGGGAGGTTACCAACGATGTTTTCTTCACTCGAATACTGGTTATCAGCCAGATAATCCCAGAAAGGAAATTTCTGGGAATTCATGAGAAAATTTTTAACATTCAAAATCCCTGCCTAGACAACAGCTGACACAGGTCTACTCATTTAGTGAGAACACAACCTGGCGTCTAGGCAGCCTGTCCTGCCCGTGGGCCTGAGTCAGACGGTGCCCACGCCACTGCTCCACAGCTGAGCCCAGCCTGGCTGGCACTGCCAAAGCACAGGCCCCCTGCAGAAGCCGTGAGACACAGAGGGGAAGGTTATTTTAAAGGGAAAACTCAGAGTTGACAAGGAAACAAATATCAATGAGAAGAAATCCCCTTTCATGTGTATTTTGTTTCTGGTTTTTTGGTCTTCAGTTGCAGGAAAGATTTTCAAATTTTAAGTACGATATTTTGACAGTGCAAAGGCCAAGGAACTGAAAAAGATCTGCAGAAGGAAAAACAATGACAGCAACAACAGTGGACTAACAATAGCTAAATGATCAATCCTCTCCTGGCTAATGGGGCTGAGAGTTTTGGGTGAGTGACCAAGAGGCTGAGTGGCTGGCAGGCCGGGGGGCGGGGGGGGCGGGGGGGGGGCGGCGGCAGCCTCAGGCCACGATGGACAGAATTTATGCAGTGAAATCATTTCACGAAAGAAAACCTCTGCACTCTGTGGAGCACCGTGCATCCCCGCCAACGGGCTGAGAGCCCCCAACTCCCCACCACAGGGCCAACCGCAGGCCTGCATCAGGAACTAACAAAGTGAGAATGCACGTCGAGCGTCCAGCTCCTCTCCTTCAACTGAAACCAGAAAACACGCGCGATGCGGGGACCGTCTGGGAATGATCAGCCAGTGGCTGTGGCGCCTGCTTCAGCAGAAGGGATAGAAGCTACCTTCCCAGTTCACGGTTTAATACTAAAAAGCATCTTCACCTTGTAGAGTCGACTTTTTTTTTTTTTTTCAATTACACCTGAAACAAGTTTTAGTTACCTTTTGTTTTTGTTTTCAACGTTGGAGTTCTAATTATTTGATAAACCAGGTGAATGCCCTGCATATATAAATCATGTTAATTGCTGTCATTTAAAAGGTCATTAAAGCTTTATACTCACATCCCTAATTCACTGAACTTTAAAAAATCAATCTTCATTCAATTTTCTCAGCAATTTCTAGGCTTTAAGAGACTGATTCATCGACTGACACCTTAAACCTGGACTTGGGGCAAGTTCATGATTCCCGCTTCAAATCCAGCATCCACAAATACACTTGTAGTCCACAAACCGGAAGCAACAGGTAAACACAGGCCTCCCAGGACCACCGACTCAAGCTAGCCATGTACTGCACCACGGTGACCTCGGAAGAAGGGACCTGGGTCAGCACTTGGAAGTTCTCCTGGACGGGAAAGCCCCCGCGGGCCCTACGGAAAGCACAGGGTCACACCCAGAGCCTACAACCCTGTGTGTGCACCTGCAGGCCTTCAGCATCTCTATTCCCATCGCTGCCCTCTCACGCTCAGAGACCCTGTCCCGGGGCAGAGCCCACCTGTGGCGACCACAGGTCAGAGGGGCAGCATCACAGGGGACCCGCGCTGGACAGGCAGCAGGGCACAGTAAACCAAGGACCGCGCTCCTGGGATCTTACCAATAAACCAAATTCCTGTAATTCTTAAAACACACTCAGATACATTTTAAATGTCTTTGTTCAGATAACTCTCACAAAATTATCCTACCAAGATTTTTTTTCCCAAGCGTATTCTAATAAAGATGCCAATTGTGAACGCTTTTAAGTAGAACTTTTAAAAAATACAGGGCTTTTTTTTTCCTCTCTCTTTTAAATCTTCCACTTCAAAAACTATCCCAATTTCACAACTGCGAACTCGGGTTAAGATGAGCTCCCGCACCCCAACCGTGCAAGTGAGGAAAATCACACCCATCGAGGCCCGCAGGACCCGGCGGCCGCGGCGGGGCCCGTGGACCACCCCTCCCGCCTCCGCCAGGCCGCGACGTCCCCGACCCGGCTGGGACACGGCTACCTGTGGCCCGGGAGGGCTCCCCGCTACCCGCGGACGCCCGCGGTGCAGGCAGAGGGCCGCGCAAGCCTGGCTCCCGGCCTCGGGCCGTCCCGGCACACTCGCAGCCGCGCGCCAGGCGTTCGCCTCGAGGGCCCGGAGTTGGGTCTGACGCGCGGCGACCGCGGGCCCGGGGCAGCCGGCCCGCGCCGGGGCCGCGCAAGCAGCTTTCCCGGCTCCCAGGGCCGCCGAGGGCGCCAGGGTCTCCCTGCCAAGAGGCGCTCGCCGCAGCCAGCCCTGCCCCGGGCACCCCCAGGGCTGCAGGGGACCGGGCCCCACGTGAAGGGCTGACATCTTAGGGAAAACTTAACCTAACCTACATCTTCCGCGGGAATTTATGTCCGTCCTCTCGGGGCGTTGCTGCTCCGCTCCGAGCAGCAGGCCTCGCCCCCCGGGCGGCCGGCTCGCCGCTCCGCAGCCACCGTTTTCGGCGTCCGCACCGGACCTCCGGACGGGAAGCGACACGGCCGCAGACCTCCGCCGACCAGGGCGGCCCGACCCGGAGCGCGCGGGCCCCCGCGGCACTGCCCGGAGAGGCCCCGCTCACTTGTGCCCGCGGCGCGAAGCCACCGGTTGCGGCCCCGGGGCCCCCCGAAGTTTCGACCGCCCCGGCTGCGGGTTCGCGCCCCGCCCGGAGCGAGCCCGGGGGGCGGGTCCGCGGGGCTCGGCGGGCGGGGAACTTGGCGCCCGCCGCCACCCGGGCACTTTCCTTCCACGCCTCCCGGGGCTGACGGCCGCCGCCGCCGCCGCGAGGTGCCCGGGCGCGCCCCTGGAGCCCGGCCGGCCGGCGCGCGGGGCCGCGGGGGCGCGCGAGGCGGCGCGCGGGCGCCGCGCTGCCCCCGCCGCCCCCGCCCCCACGCGCCGCCGCCGCCCGTTGGCGCCGCCGCCCGCGCCCCGCGGGTTTCCGTGGGCAAAGTTGCGCGGCCGCTTGTGAGGAGCGCAGCGCCGTCCCCCGCCCCGGCGCCGCCGCCGCCGCCCTCCAGGCCGCCGCGCGGGAAGGCCCAGCCGGCGGCCCCGCTTTTTTACCTGCCGGGAGTTTTCGCGCGCGCGCTCGCCGCCCCCGCCTCGCGCCCGTCCTCTTTCTTTTCTTTCCTCTTTTCGCCGCCCCGCGCGGGCGCGTTTTCCGCTCGCGCCGCCCGCGCTCGCCCGCTCGCGCCCTCCTTCCTGCTGGGCTCGGCGGAGCGGGGCGGCCGGCAGCTCTCCCCGCCCCCCTCCACCCGCGCTCCGGCGGAGGCGGCGGCGGCGGCGGCGGCGCTCCGCGCTCCGACTCATTCCAATATGGCACGGGCGCAGGGCGCATGCGCCCGCGCCCCCCCCCCCCCCCCAGCGCCGCGGTGCTCCCGGCAGCCCGCGCCCCTCGCGCCGCGCGCGTGGCGCCCCCCGGCCCGGCCTCCCGGTGGCCGCCCGCGCGTCTTCCCTCTGGGCCGGGCCGCGCGGCTGCCGCCGACTGAGGCGCGCGGGACCAGCGTCGCCCGCAGTCCGCCGCTCCCGCCCCGGCCCGCAACTAAGCCGCGGTCGCCCCCGAGGGTGTGGCGGGGACATGCGGCGGCGCCCAGGGCCCCGACGGCTCGGTGGCTCTGCGCGATCTGCCGGGGCAGAGACGCGACCCCGGGGCCTCAGCGCCGGTCCTGGCCCGGCTCCGACCAGGCAGGGAAGGGACCCCCCGCACCACGCCCCGGCTGAGGCGGACGGAGCGGCGGGGAGCCCGGGCGAGTCTCGGGGCCCGGCGCAGCGCGCCGCTGTCGCCCGCACGTGACTGCCTGGGGCGAGCCGGCCTCGGCGAGCAGCGGACCGAGCGGCAGCCGGACCCCGATGGGCGCGCGCGGCCGACCCGTACCAGCGGCGCGGGCAGCGGGTCCCTGCACCCAGGGGTCCCGGCCGTGAGGTTCCGCGCCGAGCCCCCTGGGAGGCGGCGTGTACACCCGGGAGTTTCCGCGGCTCGGCGTCCCTGCGAGGGGGCACAAGGAGGCTGCGGAATTCGGGCGGGAGATTACGGAGCCTGGGGTAGGATCCGAAGCTCGCAAGTGGCCGCAGGTCGGCCAAGTGTCCGGGGCCCGCCGCTCGCCTGGCACGTGCGGCTGCCCGTGGGACACACGCGCCCCCATGCGCTCCGGGCAGTTCCCTGCCTGAGGAACCCGCGGCACGCGAGGAGGGACCGGCTCTGCTCCTCAGGTCCTGGCAGGAGGGCTGGGACGCGCGCCGGCGGCTCCTGCGGGTCTGCGCGGACGCCGAGTCCCAGCCGCAGGGGGACCGCCTTGGGGTGCCCCGCGGTGTGCCCGGCGCGCGCGCGGTCCTCCTCCCGCCGGCCTCAGCCGTCCCGGGAGACGCCTGGCTTCTGCCGACACTCGGCTGGCAGGATTTGAACGCAGGCTGATTGATTCTTTTATTTTAGCTCAGGGCCACCAGCGGGAGAAAGGGCGTAACAAACGCAGAGTGTCGGGGTAGCTCCCAGGGAGGGCGGCTTTTCGCTCCGAGAACCTGGCACTCACGCACGACTTCGCATAGTCCCAACTATCCACTTTTCTTTTGTTTGCCACTTTCTCTAAGGGTTTTCTTTTGTTCACGTGACCCTCTCGGAGGTGTGACTTGGTCCCCAGCACACTGCGTCTGGGCTCTGGCTGCCCTGGCTCACTGACGTGTCCCTGAGTCCTGCACCTGCCGGCAGGGAGAGGCTCCGGGGTTGGGGGGAGGCTGCCGGTGGCCGAGTGGTCCCATCCCCAGGAGCCGCGCCAACGGACGCTCGTCGGCACCCGGTGCGGCCCCTTCCCACTACTTCACGACTGTCTTCTGATCGTTAGTTCAATCCACCGTTGTCACTTCACGGTGACTTTACTGAGCAAACACTCAGAAATGAGCGCTCCTGCACGCACTTGCCTTGTGTGTGCCGCCTTCTGTGACCCACCGGCTCACATCCGTTCCTCTGCGGAGGACTGGAACCTCCTCTGCCCGTGACCAAGCGCCTTTGTATCACCGTCCCTGCTCCTTTGTTAGCACCGATGCAGAGATTTTCCAGCCTGTTCCTTTTTGTTTTATCCCGGTGTTGAATCTGTCATCCCAGCCCTTTGTGACTTTTTTCATGGCTTCAATGCTGACAAAGTGAGCTTTCCCCCACCATCTGATTCACTGCTTTTCTGCTAGTCTAGTCCAATTTCATTTCGTACTTAATTCGTTGATAATTCTCTAGCCTCGTTTTATTGTGCTTTGTTCATCTGGGAGGTAAAATATGGATTTAACTCACCACCACCATCACCAACTGCTGTTGAGTATGCAGTCATCGCTTATTGAATAATCCCTCCCTTACCCTTTGTTTAGGAAAACCCACTGTTAGGCTTGGCTCTTGATTTTAGTTGGTGCACTTCGGCTCTTTGAAATACACCCTCGCATCTCACACATCTCCATTCCTGCTTCCTTTTTCGGATTGTCACTTGATAACCATGCTGGTCTTTGCGTCCATGTGTGTTCGCAAGTAATCCTAACAGGGTTTGGAAGGAGACCCTCTGGCCCTGTGATGGTGGCAAGCTCCTTGTCCCCGGTAGGCTTTAGGGTCTGGGTCTGCCACGCAGGAGTAACAGCAAGTCCTGCCTCACCAGCCCCACGCCTGCCACAAGGAAAATGGTGGCTGGTTTTAGTTCCAAAGAAATATTGAGTTTTTTTTTTTTTTTTTTTTTTGGCATGGAGTTGCATTAAACTGTGAATTCAACAGATCAAATATTTCTCAAGTCCCATTTTCCCGCCCAATACGCATGCCCTCTTCCCGTCGATTCAAACATTGTGAAGCTCTCACACAAAGGCCAGGACCCTTGTGGATGGCACCCTTCGCTGCTGCTCACCTTCATGACCCCCGTGCTCCTCTGCCTCGAAGGGTGAAAGCTGTCAGCCTGTGTGGGTGTGGGTGTGGGCATGTGGATGCATGTGTCATCTCCTTTCACCCTGGCTACCTTCCTCGGGATGGGTCACGGCGCTCCCTGTGGACAGTGAGCTGACTGGGAGTTTCCACTTCCCAGTGAGGGACATGCTGGGATGTTCAGGTTGGGGGCTGCCGACAGAAGAGGGGTCCCCAGAGGGAGGATGGAGCCAGGGGCAACTTACAGAAAACTGAATTCTTTTATAAATTAATAAAAATAAATTAAATTTGGTTTATTTGAAAGAAGAGACCCAGAGAGAGAAATCTCCCCATTCATTGGTTCACTCCCCCAAATGTCTGCAATGGCCAGGGCGGGACAAGGCCAAAGCCAGGAGCTAGGAACTCAATCTGGGTCTTCCACATGGGGCACCGGGAGCCAATCACGAGCCGTCACTGCTGCCTCCCAGGGCATGCATTAGCAGAAAGCTGGACTTGGGAGCAGAGCCTGGACTCAAACCCAGACACCTCAATAAGGGACATGGACATCCCAAGTAAGGTTCCAGCCACTAGGATGGTCCGAGGTCAGCCTGGCTGACCTGTCATTCTTCATCCACCCAGCACCTGTTGCAAAAAGGGCCAGACTTCCAATTCAGGAGACCGACACGGCTCCACCTTCCAGGGAAGGAGACTTCCCTTGTGGGGAAGTTGGGGACAGAACCCAAGCCAAAGACAAACAGATGCAGGTGTCAGTTATAACTATGACCGGGGAAACGGAGAAACGGTTCTATAGAAAGGATGGGTAGGGAAGGCCTACTGTGCGGAGACACTTTGCTACACAGGCACCAGAACAATGGGGGAGGGGGGCGGGGCAGGAGGTGGGATGCAGGGCTGCCAAGGCCTTGCAGTGGGAAGGGCTGGGGCACCTCCGTGGGGTGGGAAGGAGACAGGGTGGTTGGAGCACAGCGCGAAAGGCAGGGGAGGAGACAGTCAGAGGGCCGGGCTTGGGGGCCAAAGTGAGGTTTTGGTCCCATGCAAGGTACAACTGGGAGGCTTGGGAGGCTTTTAGCAGGGATAAATCACAACCAGAAGTCAGTGTTCCAGGGGCTGGGTGTTGACTCCAGGCCTTGTACCAGGTGAGAACATGGGGGCTGGGCCTGGACCCTAAGGGCTGCCGGAGCCCTTGGCCAAGACAGCACACTCTTTCCCGCACAAGAAGAATTTAGGTTCCCGGAGCCTGCCGGGCACTGCTATCTACAATCAGGGTCCCTCCATGGCCAGCGACCCAGCTAGCACCTTTCAATCAGCCAAAGACAGGCAAGTTAAAAAGGAAGCCCCTGTGGCTCACTGCCCAAGTGCTGCAGCGCTGCCCCCAAGGAGGCACTGCTCAGCCGGTGCAGCTCTCTGTCGAGGCCCGGCTGGTTCCACTGGCCTTGCTGCCCTGGACCATGGGCCGCTGCCGTGCGCCCCCAACCCCTGCCCTGCTCCATCTCTGCGCCTGGATCCTGCAAATACCACAGCCCCAGGCCCTTTCACCCACACTGTGCTGTAAGAGCAAAAGCAGTGGGCTTTGGACATAGATAGCCTGAGGGTCACTGCTTCTCTCTGAGGCCTTTGTGGGGCCCCGTGCCTCTGTGGACTCTAGTTTCCTCACCTCTGCAAAATGGGGATGAAGTGACTTCCTGGCTGGGTTCTGAACATCCAAGGGAAAAAAATGCTCACAGACACACTTTGCAAACTCTAAAAGCACAGCATAATTATGAGAAAGAACTGGCCTGGCCCAAAAGACACCTCCACTGGGATGTCTTCCAAGAACACTCCACTCCCTTCTCTGTCTTTCTAAGGCAT